CCTGGCTCAGTTGCCTTTGGAATTCGTTTTTACTTGGAGCTTCCTCAAGTTTCTAGATTCCTTGTATTGACATAGAATCCCTGCTTGAAACATGGAAATACCACATGAAGCGGTAGAAACATGTGATAAAACCATGTAAAGGTAATATTCTCTGAGCTTTATAAGGTATCATGCTCCTGATTTTATTTTTTTTATTTTAAAATATTTTATTTATTTATTTGACAGAGAGAGAACACAAGCAGGGGGAGTGGGGGAGGGAGAAGCAGGCCTCCCGCCTAGCGGGGAACCTGATGCGGAGCTCGATCCCAGTACCCTGGGATCATGACCTGAGCCGAAGGCAGCCGCTTAACCGACTGAGCCACCCAGGCGCCCCGTGCTCCTGATTTTAGTTACTTATGATGTAGTGTCAGCAGCAGCCCCGAAAAACTGGGCTACGTTAAAGTCACCCAGTGCAGCATCTACCTACGTAGTTGTATTAATTTTCTATGGCTGCCGTAACAACATATCAACAACATAGTGGCTGAAACAACACAGATTTGCTGTCTCAGTTCCGGAGGTCGGAAGCCTGACCGGGTCTCACTGGGCTAAAGTCAGGGTGCCTTGTGGAGACTCTAGGAAAGAATCTGCTGCTTGCCTATTCTACCGTCTAGAGGCCAGCTGCCTTCCTTGGCTAACGGCCCCTCCTCCACCTCCAAAGTCAGCAGGGTGGCATCTCTCTGACCCTCTGCTCCGGCCTCCTCATCCACTTGGGAGGACCCCTATGATGAGACTGGGCCCACCTGGATAATCCAGGCCGGTCGCCCCATCTCCAGGCTCTTAACCACATCTGTAAAGCCCCTTTGCCATGCAAGGCCACATAATTCACAGGTTCAGGGGATTAGGACATGGACATCTTTGGGGGCCGTTGCTCCTCCTGCCATAGTAGTCCGTTAATTCCATTTGACACAGAAGCAGGTAGGGCTCCAGACTGTTTCCGAGCCCTGCCTTTTCCCCGCCCTGTGTCTTCTCCTATAAGCTCTGTAGACAGGACCCTGGCAGAGCGCACAGGAGAGCAAGAAGAAGCTCAGCCCTGGGGGGCTTCAGGGAGGCCTGAGAGGAAGTGCCCCTCAGCCTGTCCCAAACCCCTCAGCTGCTGATATCCGGCACCTCTGAGGCCCGGGGGATTCGCAGGGAGGCAGCAGGGGTGGTGAGCTTCCTGGCGAGTCTCGGCCTCTTAGAGAGAGCTGGCACCGGAACTTGGGTCTAGAGGGTACCGTACGTCCTGGGGTCCTGAGTCCTGGCCTCTCAGACCATGCTGACGTACCGGGCGAGCTGAGCTGCGGCCCTGGCCTTCCTGTGCAGGGAGCACTGCTGCTCTGGTCACGTCTCGGCGTCTGATCAGGCACAGTTGCTCATCTCCTGGGACCTGGAGAGAAAGGGCAGGGTTTTTAATGCTTTGCTACCCTGTGTTCTTCACAAGCTGAAAACGTAAAATCTCCCTTGCTAATGCAATAGCCTGTTGAGTCATTTAGACAGCGTTAGAAGCAGCCTCTTGGCCAGCATTTATGTGCCCGCTATAGAGAAAAAATGTGATTTGTTTTAAACGTTACTTCTTATTACCGTGTTGGTGTAATTCTCCACCCAAAGACCCTAAGAGCGTTGTGTGGGCACACTCCGCCTTTGGGCTTAAGGTGGCTTTTCCTGGAGGGCTGTTAAGCAGAAGGGCACTCAGACCCTACCAGAAATTTCTGTCCTGGGCTAAACGTCCACATGACATAATTAATGTGGGCAAGTGACCTCCACGTGGCCACATTTGCAGGCTCACTGGTTTGTCACAACCTCCCCGAGAGACAGCTACTCCTGTGCCTGTTTGCAGATGAGGAAGCCAAGGCACGGTGTGGGTCCTGGCTGGCCACCTGCCCAGTGCACCCCAGAGCCTGTGGAACCCGAGGTCCTCCGCAGGGCACCGCGGGCCATCCAGGGCCGCTCCGGGCCTCAGAGAGCCTACCTTTCATGGAGACACTCGGCGGGGAATGGCCGTCTGTTCCCACTTAGCAGCTCAGAGGAGAACTCGGGGCCTCCTCCCGGCCTCCGTCCCCCAGGCCAGGAGAGTGGCCTGACAACCTGAGCCTGTCCTGGTGGGCTTGTGGCTCCTAGCACCGATGACAGGGGACGATTTCCCCCTTGAGCTGGTCGCACCTGGTCTTTTAAATAAACAAGCCATTTTCTGGGTGGATTTGGACATGTGACCTAGTGGAAAAGCTCCCAGGCAGTGTCCCCGTGCTCTGGCCCACCCTGCCTCTGCCGTGCCCCACAGAGAGCCTCTGAGCGCCTGGCTGCTGTGCCTGGCAGGTCCCGCTCCCCAGTCTGCAGTTCCTCGGGCAAACGGAAGTGCACGCCAACACAAGCCAGCCGCTGCGGTCCTTCCCTGTCTCAGGTGGTGTCCCAGTGTCCCAGGCGGGGGTTGGGCTAGGCCTGGCACGCCCCTCCTGTGGCCCTGCCCCTGCACCTGGTATGGAATGAGCCAGACCTCGTGGGAAGGAGCCTGACACCCCATCTCCATGAGATGTCTGGGCAGCCTGCCGCTGGCCTTGTGTCCTAGCCCCGTGCTCCCTGGTGAACCACGTCGACAGCCTTGCTCCCCCTCTGGGTGATGAAGGGGCCTGCAGGCCCCTGGTCCGGCTCCTATCCCATGAGAAAGCACTGTTGCAGCCTCAAGGAAGCGGCAGGAAGGGGGAGCCAGGCCGGGCTGAGCCTTGGAGCAGGTTCTGTCCACCAGAGCCCTGTGCATGATGGCTGCAATGAGCACCTGCCCCCACTGACCTCTGGCCTCCTGATAGGAGTGGCGGTCCCTGGAGGTGAGCAGATCGAGCCTGGATGCCGTGTGTTCTCCTATTAAAAGTCCCGCAGACCCTGGCTGGGTGTGGTCATGAGTGCAGCCCTGCCTGGTGCCGCCTTCATGCCGGGCACACTCAGATGGGGGTTTGCCCATGCTTCCGAACAGAGGTGCACCTACGGGGTCATCCAAAACAGAGCCTTCAACTTGGGGGCCACTGGGGAGCACTGCAGGGCTGTCCTGACCCCCCGAAACCAGAAGCAGAATTGGTGTGTTATATTCCTCTCAGGAGAGACCCCGTGGCAATCACAGGTTCTCTGGGGGTAGAGAGGACACGATGATGGGAAGGACACGGGGAGATGCATTTGCACCTCCCCCATCCTGCCCCGGGTGCCGAGCCGCCTGTAACTCGGCCAGAGCCTGGTGAGCCTGTGGGTCACAGAGGCAGCTCCTAACGGGGCAGCAGGAATTGCCCACCAACCCCGGGCCCTGAAGTGCTCACACTCTGGTCTCAGCCCGGCCACAGGTGTGTGTTGGGTGCTTTGTTCGTGACTCTGCCCTCATAGAGCTCCCATAATGGCCCTGTCACTGACCGCGTGGCCTTCCTTCCCTCCCGGAAATGGCTGTACGGGACATGAAGCCCTCCCTGTAAGTATGAAATTGAATGTGGCTTGGAACATTCTGGTACTCTGTAACATGGAATAACTGCCCCTGCTTCTGGCCTGCCCACATGCTCACCCCTAACAGTCACCACGCTGTCTTGACTTGTCTGTCCTCCTGGGTCTTTGAACGTGTCTCGTGGCGCCTGTCTCCTCGGAGCTCGGACACCAGGGTTCCCAGGGTTGTTAAGAGGTTCCCACGGCCAGCACTGGTTCCAGGGCTGGTTCCAGGGAGCGGGTCTCAGCATCATGTGCTAGACTTGGGCAGGGATTTCCTTGAACCCATCCCAGAACGAGGCCATGCTGGGAGCGGGGGCTGGGGGACCGTTCTGGCTACACGTTGGTGGGGGTGTCAGCCCCTCCCCCCGGAAGCCCCTGAGGATTAGTGCTGCCTCGTGGTCCAGAGCCACACCGTCAGCCATGATAATGACGGTGCTGAGTGCCTTCTGCCACTGGGCACTAGGTTAGCACCTGGTGTGTCATTTTGTGTCTTCCCTATAGTTACCCTGGGAGGCAAGTCAAGTCTGTTTATAGGAGAAGACTGGGCTCCGTGAGATGAAGGGAGCAAGGTGCGAAAGGGCCAAGGCTGGATGGCAGGCGAGAGCCCGTGAATGGGGGGCTGGGGGGAGGAGAACCACTCTAGGTTGGGAAGCAGCTGCCAGGGTGGAGAGTCATGACCCAAAGGGCATGGGGAGCACAGGGAGGTTGGGTTGAGATTGAGAGGGAGAGGGACACCCGGGATGGTGTTATGGGAACGTAGGACTCTGGACTGCATCATAATCAACAAGGGAAACCATGCCAGCCCAGGCAAGTGGTGAGCACCTGGGGACTCAGACCAAGTTCAGGGTCTCGGCTATGTTGTGGGGCAGGGTCCGCAGCTCCGAGGAGGGCTCTGGTCCCGTGAGCAAGCCAGCCGGAGAGAGGGAGAGCCTGACGGCACAGACGTGGTTTTGACAGGACAGAAGGGCAGGAGGACGTGGGCTGAAGTACACGCAGTGGCTCTGGGGGAACGCAGGACCAGAGTCAACGTGACCACTGGCCCTGCCAAGCGCCCGAGGCTGCCGTCAGACCAGCATCAGGAGCAATAGCCAGGGAGCTGGGACGGTACCGGGAAGGTGGCTTAGGGCAACATGGCGGGGCAGCCGTGTGGCTCAGTAAGGTCACAGTGTGGACGGTGTGGCTACGTGGCCTTAATGTGACTTCAGAGGGACAGAGCCAGCTCACCCCCCAGCTGCCTGAAAGCAGGTGGGGGGCCGCCCCTCCCAGGGGGCAGGGGGCCAGGTGACGGCCAGCACTCCAAATGTCCACGTAAACACTAAAAGCAAACACCTGCTCCCGAGGCAGATGAGCATTCGGGGCTACTAACGGGGCGCGGTGAGAATTCGTCCCTTCCATGTCCTCGTAGTTGTTAGACGCTGCCTAACCAGGTGTCTCCTAACGCCCTTGGTGAACCGCCCCCTGTGCCCTCCCGCCCCTCCCGCCCCTCCGCCGGTGCCCTCCGCTAACCCGCTGTGCGTGCCCCACAGGCTATGTCATTACCATCTCTGGACGCATGACCTTCACGAGCAATAAGTCCATGGAGATCGAGGTCTTGGTGGACGCCGACCCCGTGGTGGACAACTCGCAGAAGCGCTACCGGGCGGCTAGTGCCTTCTTCACCTACGTGTCCCTGAGCCAGGAGGGCAAGTCGCTGCCCGTGCCCCAGCTCGTGGTGAGTGACCGCCCACCCCCCCGGCTGGCCCCGCCAGCACTCAGAGGCTCCCAAGAGAGACTGAGTCCTACGAGCCCATTCTGGGGGGCAGGGCCCTGGCCCGGCCGGCCACCTCGCGGCCCAGTGACCTGGGCTGCACTGCCCCTCAAGCGCGAGGGCCTTCCCCTGTGGACTGTGAGGTCAGACCGGGCAGACAGGACGGGAGAGACCTCTTCACCAGCTCCTTGCTCTGGGGGTTCTCCCTCAAGGGTGAGTACAGTGCCCAGGGGCTCCCAGAGCTATGTATAAAAGCGACAGTGGGGCTGAGGACCCTCCCGAGGGATAGGTTCTCAAGGAGAACCTGGCCTGAGTGTCCTGCTTGATGGGGGCTGAGCCAGACCCCGACAGCACGGGGCTGGGCATCGGGGACTCATGATCCTTCCGTGCCTCGGCTGCTTGGCCGGGCTCTGCCCTGGGTGTGCAGAGAGAGATGGCAGGTGTCTGGCCACACAGCCTCTCACGTGGGATGCTGCCACCGCAGTGTTGAAGGGTCCCGGAGCAGGAATCCCAGCAATTTGACAAGTGCTGGACGCAGGGAGAGTCAGGGAGCCAGAGGTGGCCGACGTCCAAAGTGGGGAATGGGGAAGGTGGTGGGTGGGTGGTGAGGATGCTTGACTGGGAGGTGCTCGGGAACTGTGGAATGAATGAATGAGTGAATGAATGAGTGAACACATGCACGCTGCTTCCAGATCTCCCTTGAGGCCCAGGATGGTTTTACCGTAAGCCTCACACATCCCTTGCCAGTGCCGGTCACAGTCCCGCCTGGACCTTGTCCACGCACCGGCCAGCGAGGCCTCTGGGGCTCCCTGCAGCCAGCAGCACCCCAGCCCTGGGGAGCGGGGCCCCCGCTGCTGGCCCCCCATCACCAGACGAGGGCCCGTTGGGCCGACAAGGCTGAGGTGCTTGTGGAGGGTCATACGTCCCATCCCGGGGAGCCAGCGTTGGGGTCCAGCACACGACTTGCGGCTGCTCGGGCTGCTCCTGATGCCCCTTGAGCCGGCCTGCACTTCTGCTGCTGGAGGCCGCTCCTGTGGGGCCGCAGGGGGAGCTCCCTGCCCCCCCGGGGTGAGGGTGGGGGGCAGACTGGCCAGGGCGGGGGCGGGGGGATTCTCTCGAGCTCCTGGCACTATGCGGCCCCCTGCCGCTCCCTGAGCCAGGGTGGCTGCTCCCCAGGCAGATCCTGTGCCTCCTGCAGGAGAAGAGTGGGCGCTGAAAACCTTTACGACAGACGCCACAGTGGAGACCCGCTGCTCACGCGGGCCGGGAACTAGGCTCCCACGTGCCGCTCCCTCCGGCCCCGCAGCCTCTCTCTGTCAGAGCTCTGCCCCCACCTGCCCCCTCTACAGGCAGGGAGCCCCACACAGCCCTCCTGCTGTCAGCCCGACGAGCCTCCCTGAGACCAGCCTCGCCCGAGCGTGAGGACTGGGGGTGTGCGTCCCACACGCTGCCCCTCGCCCTGACGCGTGGCCCCGGGGGGATGGCTCCCATGCCCACCCTGTCCCCTTGGCTGATGAGCGTGTGTTCCCCCTGACCGCCTCTGGCCTTGACCTTAGCAGCCACGTGTCTCTGGGTCTTGGGCCACTTTTCCTCAGAACCTTGCCTGCTCCTCTTGGCCCTCAAACACAGGCTTTCCCTGCCTCTCTCCTGGACCCCTGTCCCATCTTCTTCCATGTTGTCACAGTGCCCCATCCCGAATGCTGAATTCCGCCTCACACAGGCGAATGCTTGCTCTCTGTTCTCCTTAGCCTCCGGGCTCCAGCAGCGCGGCCAGATGCAAGGACACTGTGCGTCTCTATCTCGCCGGCCTGGCATGATGCGCCAGGCCTCAGGGGAACCTGTGCTCCCTTGACACAGGACCACAGTGTCCACACAGTCAATCCGTGATCCCCTAAACACCAGGCCCTGACGGGTGCCCACCATGCCCTTCCCTCCCCCTTGGGTGGCTGGGTCCAGGCCTCGTGCCACGAGCACTGTTCTGTGCTCACGGTTCAGTCCCCGATCGGCTCTGCCAGCTCTGCCAGCCTCCTATAGGGACCCGCACGCATCTCAAACGTGATGTATCCTGAATTGAGCTCATCATCCTTCCCCCAAAAAACCCACTGGTCCTCCCGGGTTCCCTCTCTCAGTGAGCCCGGGAACGTGCCTGGCTCCTCTCCTCTCTGCTGCTCAGCCCCCCACACCCACGGTCTCTAAGCCCCATCGCTGGCTGGATCCCTGCTCAGCCCCAAGCTGTACTGCCTCCTCCAGGCTTGCTGCCCTCCACCCGACCCCACACTGGAGCAGAGGAAGTTTGTTAAAATCAGATTTTCTCCCTCTCCCACCTAATCTGCTCTCTGGCCTTGGTGCCCTCGGCACAGGGTCCAGCAAAGCTGGCTTCTCTGGCTTCAGCCCCCAGACTCATTCCTGCCTCAGGGCCTTTGCACGCACTGTCCCTCTGCCTGGACGCCTTCCCTCAGATTGTTGCGGAGGCAGCTCCTTCCACTGTTTCTCAGCTCATCCTTAGATCGCCTTCCCTCCACACTCGAGATAAAGCCTGACCCCCACCACTGCCCAGCGACTCTCTCCTGTTCCCACACCATCTCCCAGCACCCGGCACCATCTCAGATCCTCCGGTGCATCCAGACCGATGTGTGATTCCAGGATGCCCGGCACAGAGTGGGGCTCAGGAAAATACCCGTGGGTGGCTCATGGGCTTGCTCGCCTCTCCAGCCACATTCCCCCACTGCATTGGTCAGTGCCCTGCTGGTGGGCAGTTGGCAACTGCAGATCCCTGAACGCCCCAGGGAATCCCCCCTCACTGTTACAGATACACACGTCCTATCGGGGCACACGTGGGCATGGGCATCCTGCTGCCTGGGTTCTGGTCAGGGTGTATGGTTGTGTGGTCCCAGGCTTGCTCTTCTTGGGTGCGCCTCTGTTTCCTCATCTGTACCAGGGGGACGGCCCTAGTGCATGCCACAGAGGGTGGGTGAGGGTTCTGGGAGCGCCACACCCGTCTGCTGCTGTTCACTGTGCTTTCTGGACCCCTCCCACTGGAGCTGACGCTCTCCTGGAGGGAGCCAGTAAGCAAGTAGGGACACCAGACTGTGAGATGCTGGTGAGGGTCATGGGGGAAGAAGCAGGAGGTGGGGGATCTGCATTCCCTGGGACAGTTGTTGCTACTTAAGGAGGTTCCTTCCACGGAGGGCCTCATGGACAGGGCTGCGTTCAAGCAGGGCCTGGTATTGGGGGCAGGGGAGCCATTTCCCAGAAACTATCTGGGTAAAAGGAACCAGGGACTTGGAGGCCTGGGGCCTGGAGCCGACCGCCCGTAGGGGCAGAGGAGGGGGCAGGAACACACCTGAGGCCACCCAGCTGATCCCGGCCAGGCCCAGCCCCAGGACCCAGCCTTCTGACCCCGTGGGGCCTTTCCTCTGCTGTCAGCTGACGGGGTACAGCGGCCTGCAGGGCTCCCCAAATGGGTATGAGAGTAAGCACAGCCGAGGAGTCGGACCATCTTCATTCTGCAAAGGCTCATTCTGAGTAAATGTGAATTGACAGGGTTTTCTGGCCAGGTCCGAAGTGCTAGCCGTAGTTGATTTGTAACGCTCGCCTGCCCAAGAGCCCAGCAGCTGCTGTGGGCTGCCCCCGCCTGCCCTGCATGCACCCTGGCACTCAGCTGTAGCCAGGAGGGGCCCAGTCTCCCATGGACAGTACCTGTGGCCCAGGAGCCCTTTGTGGGGGTACCCATGACCTTCACAGAGGCGGAAAGCAGTCCTGGGTCTGGGCCAGTCTAAGTACCCGGGAAGCTGCCCGTGCCCTTTCTAGAAACCCGTGACGTGGGTCGGGGGTGTCAGTCACAGGTGGAGGGCCAGCCCAGAGGAAGGGATGCTGGTGCCCAGCAGGTGGGGAAAGACACCTGCTTGAGTGAAGGGGACAGTGGCCGAATCCCTAGGTTTGAGGGGCCAGCAGTTAGTGATGGCCCTGTCTTCCTGCTGGCTGGCCTCACATTGATCCAGACTGTTATCTTGCTAATTAAAGATGGTCTTTGATTCTTCACGGAGGTGTCCTGGGGCCCAGGCTCTGGCAGGGAGGGTGCAGCTCCCCAGAGAGGAGTTTTCAGCTCAGCCTGTGTGTGCACTCCCTTGAGGACCGCCGTGTGACACCGTCTGCCTCCCCAAGCACACAGGAGCTCCTTGCAGCCAGCCCGCTGGTGCCTGTGGGGGGGGCTCAGGCCTCCGCCCCACCCCGCCCCCTCCCCGTCTGTCTTGTCAGCAAGTCTTCTACCTCCTGTCTATTTTTAGCTTCCATCCCCAGGGCCCGGCTGACACGGAAGGCAGCGTTGCTGTTTGGGGTTTCTCTTGGTGAATATTTTATGCTGGGGAGGATGCGCAGAGTCCAGCAGCTGCTGACACTTTCCAGGCTAATGATTAAAGAGGCAAATGCGCAGCATGGAGCCAGGCTGCTGGTCTGGACACCAGGCCCAGGCCGCCCCCCGGCTGCCCGGCCCCCTTCTGAAGGCCGCTCTGTGGCCATGACCTCTGACCTCAGGGGTGGAGGACATGCCCCGGATTTCACTGAGCAGGGCTGGAAAGGGGGCCTGTGCAGAGACACGGGGTGGATGCCACTAGGGTGGCTGCCTGGGGACCAGGCACCAGGTTGGTCCCAGCACCTCCTATGGGTGATGTTTTCGAGCCCTTTTTAGTCTCCAGAAACATGAGCACCAAACTGTGTGTTGAGGGCAGCGTGAGCGCTGTCCTGCCCGACCCGCCTCCCATTCTCTGGTTGAGACGTGGGTGCTGCTACCCCCGGGGCCCCAGGGAGACAGGAGGTGTCGCTGGGGAATGTGTGCGGGTGGGAGTGCCAGTGGGCATCCTGGCCGGCTGTGAGGACGGTGTGTGTTGACACGGGGCGCGGTGGGACGAGGGTGAGCCTGGAACCCATCGCAGGCACATAGGCAGTGCAGGGTTTGAGAGAACCCT